TCTTCACAAAATTCCTATTTTGCTTGAACAACAAAATCTCTCTAATTTGATTTTGCGCCAATTCAGGATTAATTCAACCCCAATAAAAACTGCTGCTGCGATTAAGTATAGTCTTACTAACTCATTGTCATGTGTTCCCATTCCCGATGATTGTCCACCACATATGCTTAATTGGCATGAGTTCGTCTCTCAAATTGAGAAGTGCCAGGGGACTCTAAACGTAGCTATCGTTGGAAAGTACACGCGATTTCAGGATTCTTACGCTTCTCTTATCAAGGTATGTTTTATTATTTGGCTTTGGTATTCTGGTTTCCATTCGATCGCTCATATTTGTGAGCAAAATATACACATCATTTCTTATTTATTATTTTCATAGTGTAATTTTTGAATTGCGGCAAATTCTCCATGGGCTACTTTCAAGGTATAATAAACAAAACATGCAAAACCTTTACTCCAGATAAGTGATATGAGGAAAAGATGCTACTTAACATTTAGTGGAAATTTTTAGGAAGGTAGTCTGAACAGTTCATGCTGATCTCGCAAAAAGGGCTCACATACATTTTTCGAATCTGAGTATCGGCTTTTAATTGATTAAAAACTATACTAAAATAGATTAGGCTTGATACGTGACGTTATCACCAAGTAATCGTATTTTCACTACGAATAGAGGGATGAGTGGCGATGAGTTTAGCATGCTGCGTTATGGGAATCAGAGTGAAGTATCAGTCATGATCAGGGCGTCATCTTACGGCGTGAGTTAAAGTATATCAACTAAATTGATGGTCTATTATAAATTTTTAAGCCTATTACAACTTTCCTGATGCTCTGCAAGCAGGTAGTGAATGGACGTTATCCCTCGTAGCGTAACCTGATTACTTCTCCACACTCGCCCAAATAATTACGTCTTTTATATCATCAACCCAACGTAAGTTTGCTAGCAAGAACAATTAATGATTTCTCTGAATATCGTAAGAAGTATCAGCCTTGTCTAAACTAGTACCAATGTGCCTATCTATATCCATGTAATGATCATAGGAAGCATGTGGACTGTCCTTAAAATGTAAAACGCTTCCCTTCTACAACGGATGTAACAAACATTAAACATTGCATGTGGCCTCTGTATCTATCGATTATTGGCTTAGCAACAATGACCTTGGTTGTCCATCACATATTGCCTAAGAATTTTTCTCCAGACTAAGATTTTATTCTACCATGTTACGAGTATTTCTCGCGAATGCATTGAATTTTTCTTCACCTCAGTAAACGGTATTATCTTCGTCTGTATTGCATTTTTACCTTTTGGTCGATTAGTCATAGATTACTGGTAATTTCACAACCTAGTTAATTCAACAAGATTTTCGACCGTAGTTTAAAATGAGATATGGAAAAGTCTAGCTTGCCTCGAAATCCAATTTATCTTGTGACCGCTATCTGGAGTCAAATTTTATTTTCAAGCTCGTTTAGCGTTCCCAGTTGGGGTCTGCCAGTTTTTACATTTTTAAGCAGACATTCAAAAAACCACTCTCCGCTTTGACGCTACCTTGAAATCATTTTGTTGCGGATATGCGCCAACAAGAGTATTCCGTATCTATGCATGTAACGCATTTGGTTCCCTCATAATAAACAGAGGCTAATAATTTACTGTCGATGCCACGGAATTTTTCAAATTTGGTATATTCTGCCAAACGATGCATATGCGAAATAATCGAATTTCGCATATTTTACTTTTTTTTTACTTTAGGCTATAGAGCATGCAGCCGTACACATCGGTTGGCGCGTGGCAATCGACCTTCTTGATTCTGAAGAGCTTGAATCTTTACCTCCTCTCGTCAATGGCTACCAGTCCTCCAAATTGTCTGATAATGAGAAAGATGGATCGCTTTTGAACATCAAATCTATGAGCAATAAGTATACTGAACCACTAGATCCTGATTCATCTAATCGCTTCTCTACTTCGACAGTAGCAGTTTCTGCATGGCTTGCGCTACAAAAACGCCCATTGGCCGTTATCGTACCTGGAGGCTTTGGTCCACGGGGCGTCGAGGGTAAAATACGCGCTGCTGAATATTGTCGAGAAAATCGTATTCCCTTCCTTGGAATTTGTTTAGGGTTTCAATCCGCTGTCATTGAGTTTGCGCGCAATGTTCTTGGCTGGAAGGTAAGTTCAGTTCCATATCTAGTTTTTCTATTCTCTACTTTTTGCTTAAATCAAATAAAATTAAAAAGCGGAGTTGTCCTTATCGTCAACCAGATTATATCCCCTGTAGACCTCTATTATTCATATGGG